TCACAGAAGCTGTGACAGAAGCTACGGGCTCTCAAGTGCTCCATAAGGCGCACCGGACCTCCCTGCGTCCTATGGTCCGGTGCGTCTTATGGAAAGCAGAATACGGTAATAATAATGACACCAGGGGACATAACAATAATGACACCAGGGGACATAACAATAATGGCACCAGGGGACATAATAATAATAATGACAATGGGGGGGGGGCATAATAATAATGACACTGGGGGACATAACAATAATGACACCGGGGGACATATAAAATAATGACTCCAGGGGATATAATAATAATAATGACACCAGGGGACATAGTAATAATAATAATGACAGAGGACATAATAATGACTGCAGTGGACATAATAATGACACAGGGGGGACATAATATTAATGACACGGGGGGACATAATAATGACTCCAAAGGACATAATAATAATAATAATATTGACACCAGGTGACATAATAATGATAATGACACCAGGGGGACATAATAATAATGACACCAGGGGTACATAATAATAATGACACCAGGGGGACATAATAATAATGACACCACGGGGACATGCTCAGGTGTCATTATTATTATTGTTGCTATCCTATGCAGTGGAAGTGGTAGGTGGCGAATTATCCACACATTTACCATGAAAGTAGAATTATGGGGAGAGTGAAATGCTCTCTTCCCCTAGTTACTAAAGCTGCCACAGCTTGGCTCTCTTGATTGAGAACTGAGCGATCACATACCGTTGATCACGCAGTTCCCGCACTCACTCTCTCTGCGGTGACTGTCAGTCACGACTTCTCGCAGGAATACCCCCCCTCCCCTCTTGATCCTCCAACGCTGACTGGAGGGATGGATGGGGCGGACACAACCTCTAGAGAGGTAGAGTCAGCTGTCAATCAGGTGGTGGGGTGGATCTGGACAATATTTTTTGGATCCATCTCGGCTGCAGCGTGGCTCTGCTCTGTCAGCATATAGCGGGCAATATTGCATGGGGGCGTGGTGGGGGCCCAAGAAAATGTTTGCCCGGGGTCCAATCAATATTAATCAATATTAAACACGGCCCTGGTTGCAGCGGTTGCAGCTAGGACATAGCTATTGCGCTCCGCTCATTAGTCGATATTGTTTTAGAAAAACTGTCACATGACAATAAACAAAAATGTATCAGTACTTGTATCTTTAAGTACTTGGACAAGTATCAGTACTTGTACTTGCAAAAATGGTATCGGTGCATCCCTTATATATTTTTATAGAAACAAAATCATACATTAAAACAGAGATGTACAAATCCTAGGAGCTCCGTATGCTCCTTACAAATGACAGCTGCCTCCTAATTTTTGAATTTGTCTCTAGTCTAGTAGCTGGAAAAGTATCTGTACTTGTACTTGTACTGAGTACAGTACTTAGTATCGTTGCATCCCTAATCGGTTCCTTACAGGAATACCAAATACACGACCCCAGAAAGAGTAGGAGAGTATGGGCTGAGGTCACTTGTTACAACAGGATTGTCCTCTGTGTGTCTTTAAGAAGACATGTTGCACTGTGAAGTGGAATGGTAGGCAAAATGGTGTGAAAAAAAGCATGAAGCACATGTGCACAATACTCTTACTAGCAGATGACATCAATTCTTGGTTCCCTCAGCCTTAACTCTTACTATGTTTGAAAAGGGTGCCTGATGATAGACTTGTGCGCCATCAAAAAATGTGTTTCGTTTCGTAAAATCCGTTATTTCGTTTTTCGTAATTCGTGTCCGGAACTCAATTCGGATTCGTACGAATTACGAATTTTCGTTAGTTGCGGTCATTCGGTATGATAAAGTTAAAAAGCAAAAATACCTTCGTTAATATTGGAGTTTTTTTTTTCCGAAATAGGAAATTCCGTTGACGAATTTCGGATCCGAATCCAAATTTTGTTGAAACGGAAACTAATCTAATATTAGTACCTCTGTCTCAGTGTCTCTGACTGAGGTTGAACAGCATGACGAGATTTTTTTTAAAATCTGAAATTCAGTTAACGAATTTCGTATCCGAATTTCGTTACAACGGAAACATGTGACTGGTGGTTGACCAATTAGAGGTTTTCTTCTGCTGTTGAGGGAGGCTTGCATTACAAAGTTTGATGCTGTGAGTTTGCTCCCAGGGCTTCAGCCTGACTGGCTTTACTCAATATGTGTGCCTTTAGAAATAGGGGGCTGTGCCACAGCTCTGGACCTAAAAAGCAATTTGCAGCTTACTGACAGAGTACACAAAGGTCTATAGAGCGCCACAATTCAGAGCCCAAACCCCACAATTCTGGCACAGTCCATCGGGGTCCAAATACAGTTTCCAAAGCAGTTGCTAAGGATATGCTGATCTGGATAGCTGTTATGCAGAGATTAGCTAAAGCAGTGGAGTGGAAATCATGAACCAGGTCACAGGAGGAAAACAAATGTCAAAGGTATTTCAAGAATCAAGTATCGAATCAATAAAGAAGCAATTCTACAAAATAAAACAAAACATAGGGGTCTATTCACTAAGCTGCCATAGGCAGCCGAGTGAATGACCGACCTAAAGCGAAGTAAGCCGAACGCTGTTCGGCTATTCACTTCAGGCTGGTACGGCTGATTTCAGCAGTATATCGGCTTAAATCAGCCGTACATTGGGTGGCTTCGGGTCGGCCGTACATGCTCAGCATGTTCGGTCGACCCGAAGTGCAGAAGGAGTTCGACTCAGCCGATCCAACATCTGGATGGGCTGAGGCGAACCTCAGGCAGGCTACTCGCTGCTGTTCGGTCTATTCTCATAGATGCCGAACAGCAGTGAGTGAATAGCCGAATGCTGCCGAGCTGTTCTGCTTGGTTTCTCTGTGGGACAATGATTGTGCGGAGCTAGCAATGACAGCTAGCTCCGCCCAACAGTTTTCTATTGGCCGGCGGTTCTGCTGCCGTCAAAAAAACAGGCGGGTGCAATACTAGTTTGCTATTGGCTATTGCAAATTGAAATAGCCAATAGGAAACTAGCAATTCACGGTGTCTCCTAAATGTTTAAATTATATTTTTCTAATCAATAAAGTAAGCCATTTGTCTGATTAATTATCAAATTTTGGTTGGAGTATAACTTATTTTTCCACCTCACTGCTTCTTACAGAGGTGGTATTTCTACAGGAATCTAGCAATGCATTCTTATGGCCGAAAATTTTTTTTTTTTCCTGTTCTGACACGGACAGCACCCCTGTTCTGACACGGACAGCACCCCTTCGGTTCTACTGAACCGAAGGGGTTCTGGGGCCAAAGCTAGCCGAAGGATCGGCCGAAGCTTCGGCTGCTTCGTGAATAGACCCCATAGACTTTTTTTTAGAACAGCTTCTAGAACACTAGGAAAAAACTGAGGTATGATATGTAGAGGTGGGGTTATATGGGGACTAGCCTAACTTTTTTGTTTGTCAGGGTCCCAAACTCCTGTAGGCAGTGGTATTTCATAATTCCTGTGTTCCTAAATAGATGATGAAGAAACGTTTTCACTTTTTTTTCTCATGCGTTGCTGCATCTAATAACTAGTCTTTATCTGTGTCACATGCTGCATCCATTATAATTACCTGGCCGACCCTACCATTTCCCTTTCTTCCTCATTTGAAACTGACCACGCAAAGCATGGAAGCAGATCTGTGCTTGCATGGTCAGTGTGCCAGGGCTTTCTATTTTCGAGGTACGAGATGCCATGGCAGACATCCCAATCTGCAAAACCTTATTTCAGGGAGGTTCCTGTCTCATTTCAGGGAGGTGCCCTTTATACCGGAAAGGTTTATTCAGAGTAAAGCTTTCAGTGAGAAAATGCCTCTCTCGCGGACGCCAGGGAGCTGCTATCTAATAGAGGGAGACTCCCTGAACATCAGGGAGACTTGAGATCCCTGCCATGGAGGCACATGCCGTTTTTGTATCTCGTATAGTCTGTTCATCTGCCACGTCCCCCGCCCATCATTAGCCAAACACAGCCTGCAAAAGCAATATCCTGTAGACACATGGAGAGTGGAAGATACAGCCCCCTGGAATGCAGTGTACACAGAGGGGAACTGTACGTCCATGTGTGTGTGGGACATTTGTAATGCCCACATGCTTCCGCAAGCAACATGCCCCGTCCCCATCCCTGCTGCCAGTAAAAAAAAAAAAAAAAGCTGGAGGAACAGAAAGAGAGAAGGGGAGAATCTCTGCAGGGAGTCCTGACTGACAGTCACTACTCTAAATGGAGATGTACGGGAAGTGAGCAAACAGCAGTATGTGATTGCTCAATTCCCGATCAATAGAGCCGTCACACGTCGGCTCTAATTATGGGGATGAGTGTATTTTACTCTCCCTATAATTCGCCTTTGAGGCGCCATTCACACCGGAGGACATCTGAAAATGTATGGGTGTGGGAGTAGTTCACACCAGTGCGTTAGGTTGATGTCCACTGCCCTGTGCTGAAAAAAGTAGAGCAATGCATATTTTCAACGCAACGCATTTTTAACGTGTGTTAATGCAAAGGACATCAACGCAAGGCAGAACCAATACATTATATGGCTAAGTGTAAACATTCAACAACACCCCCAAAAAATGCAACATAACGCAATGCATTGTAAAATACTATGCCAATGTAAGTGAACGCATTCGCGCTGAGTCACGTCTAATGCACACATTTCAGTGTGACTGCACCTTAGTGTCCTTTGGATGTGGTACATTCACATATACAGTATTTTAGAAGTCAGCTGAGCAGTTCCACAAACAAAGCCCAAGAAATCTGTACCTCGAACAGGGACTCATTTTAGAGTTTATTATAATAAGTATGTGAGTAATATAATAAGTAAGTATGTGCTTCCCATATTCCAGCTACCGACAAACACATAATGCAACACCGATCTGGAAAGACACAAACTACATCCACATTGTGTGTTATTAGAGAAAACAAATCCGCCGTTCTCCCTCCTCCATACACACAATCTGTGTCACCACAGGAACCCTCCTAGCGCCCATTACCATATTAGACCACGCCCATCGTGCGATTCTCTCCTGACAATCGCGCTGGCGTATAGCACTGGGCACGCCCCCCGGAAGTAGAGGCTCGCACGATCTAATTCATAGTAAGGGCGAGGGTCCCTTGTGGAATGGTAGGGACCCAGCGAGGGATAGGGCAAAGCGGCTTCTCGTGCTTGAAACTCCGCCCATAGTCCGTCTAGCTCCTCCCTTTGTCGTAGTGGTCGGTTCACGTTGCTCATTTGTGCTTGACAGTGCGGATCTGACTTGTCACCGAGATGAGGAAGGTTGTAGTAGTCACCGGAGCAAACAGGTACGGATGGCGGAGTGTGTTCTCTCGTTATGTGGGAGATCATTTTGGAAGTAGGACTTTTATTGTGTAAAGGACTGCACAGACTATTGTATAATAATAATAATAAAACAATAGAAAGGGGGAGTCATTGGGCTATTGTTGTTAGAAATAAATACAGTTATAGGAATACAATAGGGGGATTAATCAAGGCTAGGACGACAAGAAACAAAGAATCTGATTGGTTGCCACGGCTCCAGATTCTGTCTGCTCCAGTCTTGATAAATTATCCCCAATGTTCTACTGTGAATGCTCATTTCTGACTCGGGGTAAACTTTGCTCTATTTTTATCATTCTCTAAAGGTTTTTTTTTCTTCTTTCTTGTCTTATCGGCTGGAGCATTGAGCACAAATTTAACCCTTCCGCTGCCAGAGATTTTGCACATTTGTTAAAATACAAATTTTTGCCCTGAGAATTACTTATACACCACCCCCCAATTATATATTTTCTGAAAGCACAAACCCAGTAGAAGAAAATGGTAGCAGTTGCTCATTTTTATGTCACATGATATTAGTCCAACTGTTTATAGATAGAATCCAAAAGTTAATATAAACGCACAAAAACACAATGTAATACCCAATTTGTTTGTAAACTACAAAAAAAAGGAGTTTGTGCCAAGTAAATAGGTACCCAACATGCCACGTGAAAAGGCAAAAAACTATGGTACCCCAAATGGTCTATAGGTGATGTTTAAAAGCCTGTACAAGTCACCAATTTGGAGTTAATCATGAATATTGGTCCTAGAATTATTGCTCCCACTCTGGCATACGCGGCGATACCTTATATGTGTGTGGCAGTTGGCAGCAAAGTTAAAGCTTAAGAGTCTATTAGACCCCTAATGTCACCTTTGCAGCCCATTGAACCTGATCAAGCACAGATGGTACTTGATCAGCTTCTTCTCTAGTTGGGAAATCCGATCCTTATCCCCTGTAAGGCTCAAAAGAGATTCTCATTAGTCAGCGCAGTCCAATCGCCACTGCACGCTGCAGACCCTGGGGGGGGGAATTTATCAAAACTGGAGCAGACAAAATCTCTAGCAGCGGTACATGGCAACCAATCAGCTTCTCTCTTCTGCTTGTTCAGTTAGGATTTGAAAATAAAAGAGAGAGGCTGATTAGTTACCATGCACAGGTGCTCCAGATTTTGTCTGCTCCAGTTTTAATAAATTCCCTTCATTATGTTTATGTAAAGCCTCTGGGGCTGTGTAGTTAAGCTTTCAAAACTTGACTGGTGTGGGCAGTGGGCGATGGTCATACTTGCAGCTAAGTGCAGCAGGGATCTGGGGGGGTGAATTTGGTGTTGTAAGTTAGTGCACCATTTCATTTTTTGTGTAAAGCTGAACTAACCCTCTAGGCCCCTTTCACACTTGCAATTAGGGCTACACTGTCAATTCTAGAGACAAGAATAAGTGGATTTTTGTGGCTGGAATTACAGGTGGGAGCAAATAGCTGCGGCCAGGAAGCTTTTACAAATCAATGACAGACTGACGGGTCAAAGCTGTTTGTGGCTGTTCACAGCTGGCGATTAATGAGGGACAGATGTTTTTCTCTGGACGCAGTCTATCTGCATCCTGGGACAATCATAAGATATGCAATTACATCTGAACAGCCATGAACAGCTGTCGCTGCTATCAGCCTGTCATTGCTTTGTATAGGCTTCTCAGCTGCAGCTATTCGAACACACTTGTTATTCCATCTGCAAGAATCCTCTGATTCTCACAGGGCTATTCACTAAAGGGTGAAGAGTTTGGAGAAGGCAGGAGAAGTGAACCATCTAGGCCAAAATAGCTGATTTGGAACAATTCTCCAATTTGCTATGCTATTAGCTATGTTGTCTCAGGTTTTTCACTTCTGCCTTCTCCAAACTCTTCACCCTTTTGTAAATAGCCCTGTCAGTGTAGCAAGTGTGAATGGGGCCTTAATGAATACCAAGTTAATCCGATCTGAAAATCACTTTAGGGATGCATTAATACCATTGTTTTCCAGACCGAGTATGAGTACTGATACTTTTCCTCAAGTACTCACCGATACCAATTACCAATACATTTTTTCTAGTGTCATGTGACAGTTTTTCTTAAACAATACAGAGTAATGATTTTAGGTCAGCAGTAGAGCGCAAGGGCCCGGTCGCAGGTACGACTGCTGCGACCCTGGTAGTTCTGCCACTAACTCCAACTGTAGAGGGACTACAAATCTCAGCAATACATTATGCAGCAATGCAAAATACTACCTGCTAGAGAGGCCTACAAATCCCAGCAATACATTGTACAGCAATGCAGAATAATATGAAACAAGATACTCTATGTTGCTCAACAGGGCTGTGCGCGTTACGCCTGACCAGGGCTGTGCGTGCGCGTCTCACCAGGGCCGTTTGCGGGTGTGGGCAGTGGGAAGGAGGAGGAGAAGTATGGCCGCGAGGTCCCCACAAGGCTGCCGGGAATGTCCCAGCAAGCATAGGACCTTAAAACAACAGCCAAATGTATTTTAAAAGTATCGGTGCTTGGTATCAGGCATTTTCATGAGTATGAGTGAAAAAAGTTTTCTTTAAACTGAAATAATGACCCTAAAGGGGGGAGGGGGTTGAGGGTTTAATGGTGTAAAACCTGATGTTGGGCTTTAAGAATGGAAGGCCAAAGAGGTAAGAGACACCATAAATCTGGAATAGAAAATATTGGTGTCCGCTTTCTAGCTATGCAGTGTGACAAGGGTGTTATAAGTAGTTGGCCAGAATTGGAAATATTTGACGAGGTAAACCGTATTTTAACTGCCAATATAGCCATTTGATTGGAGTTGTGAATAACAACTAATTCATTCATGTTTTGCATACACCTAGAGATAATCATTTAGGGGTATGGGTTTCTTAACCGCTCCATTGTTCTTTTCCAGTGGTATTGGTTTGGCTCTTTGTGAGAGGCTCCTCTCTGAAGATGATCAAGTTCGCTTATGCTTGGCATGCAGAAATATGCAGAGGGCTGAGGCTGCCCGTTCCGCTCTGCGGTCATCCCATCCATCAGCTGATGTAAGCATCCTACAAGTTGATGTGGGGAATCTTAAGTCTGTGGTAGAAGGAGCAAAAGCTCTGAGAGAAAGGTAAGTAGTCATTTTAAGGTTTTGTGCTTTTTGTTAACTCATAAAAATCTCTTTAGGGCTGCAATAACTCAACTAATCGCAATTCTCATTATCGATTAGTTGATTCTGCTTCTTTCCTCCCCGTTGGGAGCACAGCTGGGACACAGACCCCTTCAGCCGGTGCCGAGCAGTGAGGAGAGGCCGCAATACCGCCGCCGCTGATTCATCTGGGCTTCCCCTTTCTCCTCCCCGCTGGGAGCCCGCTTTATGCTCCGGCCTGTGTCCCTTCTGATCCCTGCTGCTCTCCCCCACCTGCATCTGTGGAGGCATACATATATAAGCTTCTTATACTAATTCTTTAGTAAGATTTTCACTGTAGTTATTTTCAGTATGTCTCCATGTGAAAAACATGTTATATCATTCTTGGCTCAGCAATAGTTAAAAAGTTCTGCTCACTTTTTGCATACACTCCAGCATCTGTACATATACACTATCATTGGATTCAGGTGTTCCAATCATCTCCATAAAATCAAGCACCTAGGCATGCAGACGCTTCTGCAAACATTTGTGAAAGAATGGGTCGCTATCAGGAGCTCAGTGAATTCAAGCGCGGTACCGTGATAGGTTGCCACTTGTGCAATAAGTCCATCTGTGAAATTTTCTTGCTACTAAATATTTCACAGTCACCTGTTAGTGATATTATAACAACGTGGAAGCAACTGGGAACAACAGCAACTCAGCCACGAAGTGGTAGGCCATGTAAAATGACAGAGCGGGGTCAGCGCATGCTAAACCACACTGTGCGCTGAAGTCGCCAACTGTCTGCAGAGTCAATAGCTACAGACCTCCAAACTTCGTGTGGCCTTCAGATTGGCACAACAACAGTGCGTAGAGAGCTTCATGGAATGGGTTTCCATGGCCGAGCAGCCTTACATCACCAAGTGCAATGCAAAGCGTTGGATGCAGTGGTGTAAAGCACGACACCACTGGACTCTAGAGAAGTGGAGACGTGTTCTCTGGAGTGACGAATCACGCTGCTCTGCCTGGCAATCCGATGGACGTGTCTGAGGAGAACGGTACTTGCCTGACTGCGTTGTGCCAAGTGTAAAGTTTGGTGAAGGGGGGATTATGGTGTGGGCTACAAAATATATGTGTTTTTAAGGGGTTCGACTTGTCCCTTAGTTCTAGTGAAGGCATCAGCATTCAAAGACATTTTGGATAATTTGATGCTTCCAACTTTGTGGGAACAGTTTTGGGATGGCCCCTTCCTGTTCCAACATGACTGCGCACCAGTGCACAAAGCAATGTCTGTAAAGACATGGATGAGCAAGTTTGGGGTGGAGGAACTTGACTGGCCTCCACAGAGTCCTAACCTCAACCCGATAGAACACCTTTGGAATGAATTAGTGTGGAGACTGCGAGCCAGGCCTTCTCATCCATCATCAGTACCTGACCTCACAAATGTGCTTCTGGAATCACATAGACACACTCCTAAACCTTGTGGACAGCCTTCCCAGAAGAGTTGAAGCTGTTATAGCTGCAAAGGCAAAGGGTGGGCCAACTCAATATTGAACCCTACGAACTAAGACTGGGATGCCATTAAAGTTCAGGTGTAAAGGCAGGCGTCCTATTACTTTTGGCAATATAGTGTATGTAGCTCCTTCCCTATGTTAGGATAGCCTTGATAAAGGGGGATCCAACTCCAAAACGTGTTGCCTAGCAAACCATCCACACACCTGTACAGGAACTAGATGGAGTCCACCTCTTGGCTGTGATACACACAAAGTGCCGCAGGAATCCCAAAATGCACATTCTTACCTAGTGTGAATGTAGCCTTACACTAGAATACCTTCCTATGTACAAATGAGTGATCTCTACAAAATGTATTTCATTTAATTCATTGCTTATATACTTCATTGTGAGTTTACAGAGTTGTGTTTGTATTTTTTGGCAGATATCAACGCATAGACTACTTGTATCTCAATGCTGGAATAATGCCTAATCCACGGATATGTTTAAAAGCTTTCATCAAAGGTCTCTTCTCTAGGTAAGTAAGAGAATTCTTATGTCCAAATCTCAGGTCATATACAAATGGCCACTTCCTTAATATTACACAATTTTACATGAATTTAATGCAAATAAACTTATTTTCTAATGGCGCTAGTTTCACTGTTTATCTGTACTAACGCTTTAATATTCTGTGTTTCATACCGTGGACCCTGATGCATTTCCCTGCTTTTTGAGTTGGCTTTCAGTTTTGCTGCCTTGAATTCATGTAAATACTAGTAAATACAATGCTACAAAATATATGTGTAGTCATCAACTAGAAAAAAATATGTAAAAACTGCATTTAACAAACACCTTTGTGTATATGCCTTATATAATTTAACAAAGTTTTACTGTGTGAAGCATGAAAGTTTAGCTGTAAGGGCTAGTTCACACCAGATGCAGTCCGTTCCGTTTTTGAGCTGTATCAAAAATGCATTACAATGCTTTTCTATGGGATTTCTTGTGCCCTGTTCACACCATTACAGTCTGTTCCGATGCCAGAAAAAAAAACTGCTTGTCCTATTTTAGCTGCATCAGATCGCGACGGAACGCAGTCAAAAGCTTCAGAATGCACCTGAATTCCCATTTTAAGCAAAAAAACAAAAACAAAAACGTATCAATTGCGCTAAAATCGCAGCAAAACGCATCGCACCGCAGGTGTGCAGACACATGCAGTTCTGGTGTGGACTAGCCCTAAAGCTTTTGTTTGGGGGAGAGGAGCCTGTTGATGGATTCATGCAGACGTGTCTCTTAGAAGCTCCTGCACCGCCAGGCTTTAAACAAATCCGAGCGCCTACATTTGTGCTATTTTGCCTCACCATGAGCCAGAGGTCCTGATCAACTGCTTTTTGGGATCAAAGGGAGGCGATAGACACTTTTTTGTTGTTGTTTGCACTGCAACACCAGGCTATAGTTCCAGGAGAACGTCAGGATTGGAGGCTGCAGAATCCTCCTCCTTTTCCCTTACTGCTCAGCCTGCAGAACACAAGGCATCTCTAGGGAACCATGACTCTTTGTCATCAAACGACAACCTGGACATACATGACTTTCACGGGGCGTTCAGAAAGTATTTTCTATTACTCCCCACTAAGCATGACATTGAAGACGTGTTGTCATGTTGTTTCTGGAGAATATGCATACATAGTTACATAGTATTTGAGGTTGAATAAAGACATTAGTCCATCAAGTCCAACCTATTAGGATCTCATTCTACGAGTACCCGTACCCCTGTATATTACGGTCCCTTAAGAAATCGTCCAAAAGTTTCTTGAACAATTCCACATTATTTGCTGAAATCACCGCCTGTGGCAGTGAGTTCCAGACCCTAACTGATCTTACTGTGAAGAACCCCCTTCGCCCCTTGTGCTGGAATTTTTTTTCCATCAAAATTCAACATAGAAAATGTCTGACCTTTTTAATGACTTCCAAAGCTTTGATCAACGTCAGGATACTGCTGAGACCCCACCTACCTCTAATACTAGTGCTATCGTGCAGTTGCAAGAGGTGGTCTCGACCCAACACCAAAATATTCAGACAATATGGATGCACTTAGATTACAGTACATTGAGGATCATGTCAGTAATGTCAGATTGCGGGGCATACCAGAGGCTACAGGCCAAAAGGATTTAGAGTACACAGTTTAGGCCATCTTTAACTTCCCTCTGGGAAACCGGTCGGGAACCCTTCTGAACTGGGCAGATTCCACAGTGTTTATGAGTTTATGTCAAATCTTCATAAGACATATGTATATAGTTTTATTTCTTGTTTTAAATATTTCACCTGAGGTGGGGGTAGCTTGTAGGGGAATAAAGTCTTTGTTATGCTTATCACGGTGGAGGGGAGTGCCAGGCCCAATGAATTGCAAATAGGGTCATTGTCCAGCCCAGGCATGTCCGAATAATTGCATAGAGAGGGGTGTGGAGTTGTAAAGAGGGTCTTGGAAACCCTCCAATCTCCATTAGGCCTTGGGAGTCAACCAATGGGAGACTTGCCATGCATCCCTATGGACACCAGGGGTATATTAAAGATTGAAGGAAAGAAGCTAGCTCTTTTTTACCAGGATGGGGCCCTCATGTGAGGATTAATGGGTAACTATACATATAATCTTTCCCCCACTTAACTGTATGTCTGTTTATCTGTTAGATACCAATGTCTGGGTATTTGGCATGTTTAAATCTTTTCTTTGTATGTTGTAGTTAAATAGATTGTTGGTTCATTGTATTCAAGTCTGCATACTATATACCAATAAATTCTGTTATTGTGTTGAGCTCAAAAATCTCATGAATGAATCCTTAGAATCTCATACCTGTAAGTGTGAATGCTTATATAGCAGATCATAACTTGAAATAGTAATTCAGGTAACAACAGAACCTCTGGACCTTGCAGTGCTGACTCCTCATGATATCCTCCTGTGGAGTATATCTTTTAAGGTCAAAAATTAGATCTTGAGAAAAGCTCGGGAAAGGGGCAAAGTAGTATTTCATGTTGCAATTATCACTGTATTACCCAATCTTTTCCAGGGGCCCTGCGCTCCCTCAGGGGGCTGTGAGATAAAAACATCCCCTACAGATGGGGTAAGCCTTTCCACTTCTCTGTCTGACAGAATGGTAGAACCTCCATTCATTCTTTTAACCACTTGAAGGCCATAGTGTTTCACCCCCTTCCTGGCCAGGCCATTTTTCAGTATTCAGCGCTGCGGTACTTCGACTGATGTTTATTCTGTCATGCAACGCTTTACTGAAACGATTTTCATACCATTTTTTGGGGACAGATAGAGCTTTCTTTTGGTGGCTTTTATTCACCACTGGGGTTTTTATTTTTTACTATATAACAAAAAAAGTACCCTAAATTTTGAAAAAAAACATGTTTCCCTATAAAATGTTATGAAACATTTTTTTTCACCCCAATTTTTTGGTAAAATATAAAAGTCGGGGTCACGTAGCCACCTTTCGCCAAAGCACTTCACAAACTAGTGGTCAGCTACTTGCTGACCACTGGATTACTACTACCCCAACGTCTCTTTACCAGAGGGTTTCTTCCCCTTCTTCAGACTGCACATCCTAAAATATTCAGATAGAAGTACCTTTCTTCTGCTACATGGTTCTTTTTCCCTTTCATACTAACTATAGGGTCTAGATGCATGCCCTTAACTATAGGGGCTAGATCGCCTTTATCTGCCCCCTGCATTATAATGTCCAAACCCTTGACATGAGCCTTACTTGGGGGATTCTCCTTTTTATTGTTGGTTACAGCTGTTTATTATCTTAATTCAATAGTTTTCCTTAGCCCATGTCTCTCTGGCCTGCCTCATAATACTGTTGTTTTGTATTACACACTCTTTGGACCTTATTTGGACTGGGTCATAGCAGACAGATATCCTGAAGGAATTTCCCTTTGTCACTGTATTTACCCTCTCCTTTCCCTCTCTTTCTCCCCTCTTTTCCCTTCTTATTTCACTGTAATCCTGTGGACCTCTGTTCAGCCTCAACACAAATTTACAATTCTCCTCTCTCACTTGAACAAAGTTCGAAAATGTCTCCCCCACTTTCATTGGGTAGATCTTTGGGGTACCCTAAACCCATCAACTAGGGATTACACCTGTAATTCAGTGATGTATTTCTTTTGTTTGTATTGGTATGACAAAAAAAGTGGAGAAAAAAAGCCAAATCTGACACATTCCATGCAAAACTCCAAAAATGGACTGGATAAAGTTATTGCCACCCTCAATTAATATTTGGTAGCACAGCCCTTGGAAAACAATAACCAAAATTAATCACTTCCTGTAACCATCAATTAGTTTCTCACACCTCTCTACAGGAATTTTGGACCACTCTTCTTTCGCCAACTGTTCCAGGTCTCTCAGATTGGAAGGGTTCCTTTTCCCAACTGCTGTTTTGAGATCTCTCCACAAGTGCTCTATGGGATTTAGATCTGGACTCATTGCTGGCCAGTCCAGTACTCTCCAGCACTTTGTCTGAAACCATTTCTGGGTGCTTTTTGACGTGTGCTTTGGGTCATTGTTATGCTGTAAGACCCATGACCTCTGACGGAGACCCAACTTTCTGACACTGGGCCCTACATTGCACCCCAGAATTCTCTGGTAGTCTTCAGATTTCATAATGCCATGCACACAGTCAAGACATCCAGTGCCTGAAGCAGCAAAGCATCAGTGAACCTCCACCATGTTTGACTGTAGGGACTGTATTTTTTTCTTTAAAGGCCTCATTTCTTTTTCTGAAAACAGTACAATGGTGGGCTTTACCAAAAAGCTGTCATTTTGTTTCGTCTGTCCACAGCACATTCTCCCAAAACCCCTCCATGAGTAACACAGACCCTACCCTCTCCCCACACACCTCTTGGGACTAAACACAAAAACAAATGTTGACCATGCCAACATTCTGAAGTGCCAGCTCTTGTGATCTTGTTTTTGTATTGACAAATGCTTTTGAATGTGTCCTATTCTAAGACCCAGTATATAGGTGTATGGGATTGCAAAGCTTATTGTACTCTCAAAAATTCCGATGTGCTCAAATCCTTTATTTTTTCACATAAACTTACACTGCCCACTTGAAACTAGACAAGCTTGGGACTGGAAAGGTTTTATATCTGTCATATATTCCCCTTGGTCACCTCATGCATGATACCAACAATCTTTCAAATTACTCTCCTTTCTGTGCTCCCTGAACCTGTTTCCCACTGTACGAAGGGGCATCTCTGATTCTTGAACCTTTCTCTTGCTGCCCAGCATTATAATGTACACCTATATGCTTTTCATGATGACTATGTGATATACCTGAATATTTTGCTGTTGGCTCAAGCTGTACCTCTAATTTATGCTGTTGAAATAATACTTTAGTATGTAACAAAAAGTATGTATAGATGCTTAGTCCTTCTTTTCTTGTTTTTTATTCAAATATTTCATTATATTAGGCTCTTTATCAAAGTAAACCTATGACATGACCTTCTAGGGCCAGTTCTATAGAAGAGACACCTTTTGCTTGCTTGCACCAGATGTCCCCAAAAATACAAATAGCCCCGTCCTTTGTAGATAATATTTGGTCCACCTTACCATGTCAATAGGTATGTTCAGAACTTGGTGGAGCAGGCCTATGGCACCTGCTCCATGGACCTAGGGTAAGGTAATTAAATAATCTTTTCAGCTAATTATACAAAATTGTATTTTAGCCACCTGTACTTGTCATTTTTGCTTTTCATTTGGTTTCCATCAGGAGATTTTCTGTGACCTTTTAACGCTATATTTTTGAACTGTTTTTTTTCACTGCAGAAATGTCATCAGCATGTTTACAACAGGAGAAGGCCTCCTAACCCAGGAGGACAGAGTGACAGAGGATGGTTTACGGGACGTTTTTGAGACCAATGTGTTTGGGCACTTTATACTGGTAACATAATGTTTTCTGTCAATTAAAAAACATTTAATCAGCCACTTTACAGTTCTTTTTCTGTACTTGTTATGTATTGCTTTGTAGATACTGGTCTACCAGACAAGCATATTTTTACATCTCTTTTAAAGAAGTAACATTAATTTGCAAAGAAAACACTGGGGGGATTTTTTTAATTTGGTCGCATCATCAGTGACTTTTAAACTGTCACATCCCTGATTTCTAGTGCATATAGCAACATATGTATTAGCCTAGTGCAGCTCCCTTTCCAGGGGCGGAAGTACCCCTGGGGCCTCGGGGCCTGAGGCTTCAGGGGTGTGGAATTCGTATCGCCCGACGCCCGGGACATGTAGTTCTGGGCGCCGGGCAAGTGCTTTTTTTATTTGCTACGGACAAGTAGGAGGGCTGGTTTTCTTTTCTTAAATGAGCGCCGAGAGCGGGGAGTGTGGACGGAGCGTGGATCGCCTGGGGGCAGGGACAGAGCATGGAGCGCTGAGGGCGGGGACAGAGCATGGAGCGCTGGGGGCAGGGACAGAGCGTGGGACGTGGAGTAGTGACAGGCTCTGTCATCACCCTCAGCCTCTGTCCTCGGCGGCCGCTGCTCGTTCCTGTCACAGGAGTTCTAGCAACAGTGGCAGCTAGAACTCCTGTGTTGGAGGTGACAGGTTCAATAAAGAGTACCTGTGGTTTGCGGTTAGTTAGCATGATATTTTCTTTTTTGCGACAAAAAAACTTGCAAACATGTTAATAAATTCTCCCCCTGATGTGCCTGCTAAAATAGTTTATTGATATATATTTTGTATATGATATATGCTCTTCTTCCAAATATTATGTTATGAATTGTTTATCGCTTGGCCCAAGAAAACAACAAAGCTTTATAATGTTGCCCTGTTCATGTTCTAAACATTAACAGGGTTATTCACCAAAGGGTGAAGGGTTTGGAGAAGGCAGGAGAAGTGAACAATCTAGGCCAAAATACCTGATTTGGAAAGATTCTCCAAATTAGCTCACTTTCCCGTTCAGCTATGTTGTCCTAGATTGTTCACTTCTCCAAACGCTTCACCCTTTTGTGAATAACCCTAAATCTATTAAAGAGGAACTTTACCCTTATCTTTAAAATAACAAACACACCTTTAGAAATGTTTAGTAAATGACAATCTACAAACACATACTTCTAGATAATTGCCAGCTTTGTATTGCATGCATATCATCTCAGGGGAGGAAAATACCTTTCCCTGAGTTCTTGTGAGATTAAAGATGAGATTTCCCAGCAATGCTCTGCTGATGTAACCTTCCCAGGATGCAAGGCTTTGGCACATTACATCATTTGTGCCAAAGTGGACCATGAAGTAGATGAGCTCTGTGATTTAGTAAATTAAAAAAGCATGTTTGTTTGACTAATGAATGTAAGATGATTTTAAATCAGCATGCAGAGGTGCATACTGATGTGATTTTTTGTATAAGGGGGTAAAGGTCCGCTTTAAAAAATGTATGGCCCATTTACATATATATGTTTTGGTGCATTGTGTTAACATACTAGAACAGACAAAGAACGGTCATGTAGAATTATTTCTGATGTTGCGCACCACAACATACAGTAGTGCATTACTGTGCTTTGTGGTCCACTGCAACACATGTGTATCAGAGTTACACATGTGTACCCCAGGTTGGTTAGGGCCTTCATGGTTTATATTGCAATAATTGATTTTGTGTTTTTAGATTAAAGAAGTTGAGTCTCTGCTGTGTCACACAGACCATCCTTCCCAGGTTATTTGGACTTCATCTAGTAATGCAAGAAAATCTGCCTTCAGCCTCAATGACTATCAGCACAGCCAGGGACAAGAATCCTACAGCTCTTCAAAATATGCTACTGATTTGTTGAGTGTTGCTTTAAATAAGAACTACAACAGAGAGGTGGGTTTAATTAAATTAAGTCTTCTTCAAGCATCTTCTACAGGGTAATAAGGTAGAAAAGTATATATATGCATGTAGCTTTGCTAAGTTTATCACTATATGTACAAAGAGTTAACGCTTTAAAGGATGTGGGGTATGAAACTGAACTGTAGAAGCAGATTAGAATGATTTGGGTCAAATATACTCAATGATTTAAGTATCATTCAGGACTCTGTAACCTTTACATTTTAGGCCATGCTGTTTTAAAACCCCAAATAAACAAAATAGAAGCAATACAAGGCCAGAATCATCCTATATGTTTGAAATAATTTGCGTCATTCATTAGGGATCACAGGTTACTGCAGGTTTGCCATCTTTACTGTTTAATGACGGTTTTTGTTAAAGGGAAATACTCTGGCATGAATATCATGCACCAGATCTTCCAAATAAAATTTTGTACAGACCGGTGGCATTATTATAAGTATTGCACGTGAGTAAAAAAACTTGTGAATGAAAATACGCAGTTATTGAGAAGTTATTGAGAAAAAGAAAAAATTATTACAAAATTTTAATTTAAAAAAAACAACATAATTAATAAAAAATGTTTAAAAAAAAAAGTAACGAATTAAAATAAACGCACAACTCCCCCCACACACATAACATACACGTGCACCGTCTTGTGGTGTACGCCATGCACAACGCTGCAGTGCGTTGTTAGAATGCATCGCAGTGCATGATTTAAAAAAAAAAAATATTTTCAAAAAAGCATTCATTTAACTGTGGCAGCGCATGGCAAAGCTTTCTGACACATTGCCATACGTTGTGATACCTTGCGTTGCAATTAAATATACGCCTGTATCATTTTATCACAACACAAACACCAACACAGCGCAAAAACGATTTTTAACATAAGTTGCTTATTTACAGTTTTGCGTATTTTTTTACCTTTTCGCAAAAAGGAGCAATTTCAAATTTGCAAATATTTGTTATTTATTAACTCAATACAGTTTTATCGTTTAGATTTAGTCAGAAAATATTTTTTTTTGTGCACTGATACTGATTTTAGTGCTTTATCAATTGAATTGTGTATTTTTATTTGTTTAATATTAATTTGAGAAACATTTGTGCAATTATCACAGGGCCTACAAATTTAGTAGCACCATCTTATTATTTATTCTACCGGGCCTGCGCTTTCAGAAAATATATGGTTTGCGGGGTCTTTTACAAACGCTATCAACGCGGCAGTTGAAAATCAACTCAATGGGAAAAATTGCAAAAATGGCGTGGCTAGCTGAGGTGCAAAATGTTCCAGAGGGCTTGGCAGCGAAAGGGTTTTTTGACTCTTTATTTAAGTCTTTTTTTTTTTTCTTTCACATATGTTGTATAATAATCTTCTTCTTTAAAGGGCATTTATTCTAGTGTGGTGTGTCCTGGACTTGTTATGACAAATCTTACATACGGGATCTTGCCTTCATTCTTCTGGACTTTAATCATGCCAATTATGTGGCTGGTGAGTAAAATAAACTTAAAATTCATATACTGTACATTTTAATTTGTACCTTACAAACAAATTAACAATACAGTCCCATTTACCTAAATGAATAGACTGAGCTGGTTTAAGCGAGTCTTATGGTAAAACAGTTAGAAACTCAGAAACCCCCCCTATATGCAAGCTTGTATTTGCTCCATATATGGAAACATATACGTATTAAAGGTTCAGTGCTGTATACTGGTTTACATTAGGGATGCTTACTAGACGACCGTGGGATGTATAAGATCCATGGTTCAGATGTGGCCAAGACAGCGTTTCTTTTAGGAGTGGTTAGCACATCGCAACTACATAGCACCTTAGTTTACTGTACCAGTTTGTTGAAGGAATATGTTGTTTCTAATATAATTTATATTCTCATAAGCCAATGATGAGCATATATATCTCTGTATATTAGAAGGAATTGCCTTCCTGTTTACACAGTGTACGTCCAGTATTAAATTGTATGCTACATGTTACAATTGCAACTCAACATTTTCAAAGTTGCATATTATGATTAATAGTTGCTCTTCACATCCATACCTTTTATTGTAACATCCCACTAAGCAAAATACATTTTTAAGTTTCTTATACAATAACATGATCATTGTGCCACACGGATAGATTTTAAATGTCTGTGTGATATATTTATTCTGTGCATTTTTGGTGCGATAACAGAAAAAGTCGATTTTCTATATTTCAGTAGCATATTTTGATGTATTTCCAAATGGATTATTTGAGCGAATTAAGACCCTATTTATTTAATAGTTGCAAAGCTAAAATCCTTTGGAGTAAACAATTTGATTTTGCAAGCTTGCATTCCCAAGTGCCTCGATATTTGGACAACATTAACGATTTAAAAGGGTAACTTTTACATGACTTTTATACAAATAGACCCCGATTAATTGCAAAATTCATAAAAAAAAAGTCCTGAACATCATTCCAGAAAATAATACTTAATTATAAAAAAAAAAGCTTACAACAATTACACATTTCAAAACTATTCCTTGAAAGTAAAAAATAATGTGAACATAACAAGGCATGGAGAGCTGGCCAAGCTGACTGCATTATTGATCAACAAATATTAAACTCTGTGCCATAATATTTCTTAAACAAAAGAATCAATAGCTCAACAAATCATCTTCCTCCACAGCCAGTGATAATACCCAGCACTTCCAGTTATGGAGGAACATGGGACTTCCTCTACTGTGACACTGCTCAGGACTAACAGCCAGTCACTAAGCCAAGCACTTTTACATGACCAGGGGTGTGACGTAATTTCTCCCCCTGGTTGGGACAATTGTTATTTCAGTGCACTGGTAAAGCCAGTATAGGGAGGGCCTTTGTAGAGACATTGTCATTTTGCCCTGTCTTATTGATGTCAAAATTATTTAGGTGGGCAAATTAGTCATAAAGTTATAGTCACATTAACTGGTTCATACTGAGGCTGCTAAATTTGGTCTGGGCATTAGGGAATAAAAGGGTTAAAGTATATATATGCAAATTGTTGTACCTGCCAAAATATCTGTAATTGTGTTCTGCAACTGTCATTAATGCATGCCTGCCCTTTGTGTAGCTGGGTAGCTGACACCATCATCTTCAATGTTAGCTTAGTAGCTCCCCATAAAACATTCTTGCTTACTGGACATTGTCATCATCCTGTTTTTTCATTATCCAAAAAGCAGGCAAGATCACACAGAAATTACCTAGCCCTCTAATCCATTAAAAACAACATAAAAGAAACCAGAGTCTGACAGAAGCACACACATCGTAATAAAGAGAAATAACCAGATTGAAAGCAAACCCACCCGGAGTTTATCCCATCTGTCCTTAAAGGTTCAGCATCACAAAAGTAGCAAAGACAGTCATGACAGCTCTGTTTGTATATAGTTGTTATTATTATTATTATTATTGTATAGTTACTAGTTTAGAGAAAGACCTGCCTATCGAGTTAAAGTGTATTTAGTCCTTGACAATAAACTTATTTTATTTGCACGATTTTGGTCTCCTAAATATACAATTGAAAGCATTTTGTTATACCTGGTTGATAAGTGCAAAAAATACCTATTAATCCTACAGGTTCCTGCCCATTCTGCACTGTTATCTCAATCAAACCTATCATCTTTTCCCAGTGCTTTCGAGAACACCATCCCCCTATGTTATGGAGAAGAGGAGAGCCCACTTCGGGTCCTAGGGTGACAATGGTGCTTCTCCATAAATATAGTACAGTAAGGGAGCGTTGTCACTTTAAGACAAGAAGGGTGTTATTTGCAGGATCAACAGGTAAACATAAAGAAAAAACAATGCCTGAAACTAATACTGCTACCATGTCTAAAGACAGATAAGCTGCAATATATTAAATATTTGATCTTGGGTTTAGATACACTTTAAAGCTTTCACACCTTCATTAGCTTTGGTACAGAGAAAGGCAAAACAATCCACCAGTTTTGTTTTGTGGAGCAAAATGTAATTTTCTCTTCCCCACAAGGACAGTTAAAATGTCCTCGATCTAAATACTCTAATATGATTTAATAGTTATGATGTGAGTATTTTTCTGCATTTGGTCAATTCAGCAGAGTAATCTGCAAATATGAGAATTTTATGTCCCCCAGCCATTAGGTATCTTTGGAAAAATTCAAGTACCTGACGATGACAGGCCTGGGTCTGTTGTCATCTCTAGGTGCCCCCAGCCTGTGTGCTCTTTCCACTGCACAGGGTCTAGATAGGCCTAGTGATCGCGGTATTTCCTCACCGCAGAAAAGGGAGAGATCTCCTGGTTTTACTGATTCGGGTAATCCAATCACCCGCAAGTTATTTCTGCGGGATCTATTCTCAAGATCATCTAATTTTTTAGCCATTGTTATGAGCTGGCGTGATGCCGTTTTGAGGCCTGCATTGCTGTCTGCTTGGTCTCTTTCTATGGTATCTATGCGTTGCTCTGCTGTGGAGAGACGTGTTTGGTGAGATTCCAAAGTAGTAGTAATGCTACCCAGGTGTAGTTTAATGGCATCTGCCACAATCTGTGAAATGTCCGTTTTGATGTGGGAAGCCACTTCAGAAGCCAGTTTCTGGTAATCAATAGTGTAGCCGTTGGTATTGGATACCATCTCACCTTCAGTGTCAGTGTCCTCAGTATGCATCGCGTCTGCAGCCGGCGCCATCTTGGGAGCTGCTTCATCCCCTGCTGCCGTCGCGTCTAGCGATCTTCTCGCGGTTTGCGGGTGGGATACAAAGCGGTCCTTTGCGGGCGGCTACGAAGGGAGAGCCTAACGATCCTGTCCAGACCTGTGAAGGGTATGTTACGGGCGGCGATTAGCTGATCAGCGGGACGGAGAGCTCGCGGATGCCTCTACCTCATCAGGCGCCGGAAGCGATGTGGGTATTTTTATTTGTGAATCAAATATGAGTCAGCCATTTTCAAAAGTCCGGCTTAAAAGTAGATGCCACGTGGCGAGTTATGTTACCTTTATTAGCCAGAAAACCCTTCTCTTTGTGCCTCTCTAATTTAGATTTTTACTTTTATTACTTTTTCTAATCCACACCAACAGGGACTCTATAAGACCTGCTTTTTGCAGGGTATTTACAGATATATTACCTATCATAGCAATATTTGTGGAAAGCTGCTATGTGTTAGAATAGGAACCACTCTTTCCAAAAACTATTGCCTTGATGGTGTGGCTTTGTCGTGTATTTGTAACTGTATGCATACTGAAACTCCTGTTTATTTACCTGTTCAAAATGTTTTAGTTTTGTCTGGGTATTGGGCCAAGTGCTGAGGAATGTTTCTGCTTTATATACAACTATTAGCTTCAAAACTGTGCATTGTAGTTGAGTACTTGCCATAGTATCAAAACCCATCATAGTCAGTACACATTTAGGATCTGTTTCTATTATAACAAACATCCTGTGTAGGAATTACATTTATAAAACTGGAAGCATTATGTCAACTAATAGGAACTTTATCTTTTATTTGTACAGATCCGAGTGTTTACAAATTCTTTCACTATTTCACCATATAATGCAGCAGAGGCTCTGGTAAGCAAATACAGGGACCCAGAAATATTGTTCTTTAGGCTTCTCTAAAGGTAACAAAATAACAGAATCCCCTAAATGTGCAGATATGTTTGTATAGGTATATATTAGAGGTGCACCGAAATGAAAATTTTAAAACGGAAAGCTGAAAAAATGTCGGCTGATACCGAAAAAGTTTTTTTTTAAACTTTTTCAAATTTTTAAAAATATTTTATTTTTATTTATTTTTTTATAAACTTAAAAATTTTAAAAATTTTATTTTTATTAAATATTTGTATTTTTTAACTTTACTTTTAGGTGCTTCGGAGAAATATTGGGGGTCTAAACAGACCCCTGATATTTCCCTTTTAAAATAGAAAAAGAGATTGAGAACACAGAGTCCTCAATCTCTTTTTCTGCAGCCCCAGTTATAAATGAACAGGAAGCCTCTATACTGAGTTAATTCATAACATGTGGATAAAGTATGTTTACTATAACCACAATCATGAATGAACAGTAGGTGATGAGGATCACTTCCCATTCATTCATAATTGAGGATATAGTAAACATACTACCGGTATGTCCTCAATTATCTACTAACACTCAGAGATCGCTGATCACTGAGTGTTTGTACCGCTCTCCTTCCTGACAACTGTCACAGGAGGCTGAGCGAGTGGTGCGGGAGGAGAGCTCAGCCTGTCTTCGCCCCCACACCGCTCTGCCGATCTGTGACAGGAGCTGAGCAGTGCAAGGAGGAGAGACGCTCTCCTCCCGCAGTGCTTGGCCGCCTGTGACAGTTTCTCTCCTCCCTGCTGGGACACAGAGCAGCGCCCAGCGGGGAGGAGAGAATAGGATGCACCGCTGTATCGACAGAAAATTGGCACTGTCGGCATTTAGCCAATAGTGCCATATTCAGCCAATATGTTTCGGCAGCCGATATATCGGTGCATCCCTAGTGTACATATATTGCCTGTCATTAGGCATGCACCGATACCACTTTTTTAAGACCGAGTACGAGTACCGATACTTTTTTTCGAGTACTCACCGATACCAATTACCGATACTTTTTCTTAAAGGCACAGGTCACATTTTTTCTAAAGCAATACAAAATCATGATTTTAGGTCAGTTTCTTAATATTATGAAGAACATGAAATTAATATTTATCATGCCATTGCTAACTAAGGCTTGTATCCCCATAGTGGGGAAAATAGATGAGACCAGAACACTGAATAGTGTGGCACAGCTATATCCAATTCTGCATACCTGGCTTTATAGTATAAGAACTTTATAATATAAAGCCAGGTATGCAGAATTGGATATATCTGTGCCACACTATACAATAATACACTGGTCTGGAGTCTGGACACGTGCTCATCTATTTTCCCCACTAGGGGGATACAAGCCTTAGTTAGCAATGGCATGATCTAAATATTCATTTCATTATTCAATGTCTTTTTTTTATATTATAAAATTTGGCTTTCACTCTGGCTAGTGCATGTGCACGTACAGTACATGCCCTCCCAATGCTTTTTCTTTTTCAGTATATATTATTTTTCTAAATACATTTTTAAGTTTACTTACAGACCCCTAATACCTTCCTTAAACTAAGTGCAAGCAAATCGGGGGCAGAGAATCAATGTTCTGCTCTTTACCCAGCCTCAGCTGCCAGAATCTGAGAGCTCTGAACTTGGAAAAGGCCAGAAATGAGCAATTCTTGGTTCAAACTTTGCAAAGGATTGGGGAATGGAAATTCCTTGTTTTTCCATCATTATCCATCCTGAGCGTAAATTTTTAGATGTCCTGGACTCCCACGAAATTCAGATAAGTCGCTTGAAACATAGGGATCACTTCTAAAAAAAAATGTTTTTAAATGACTGTGAACATGCTGAAAAAAGTGTAAACTCATCTGCTATTGTGGACATGAGCTTGTGTACAGTTTCTTACTGCCCCACCATAGTAGTTGCAGCGTCTGCAGTTATTGGGTTACTCCAGCCAAAACTTTTATTTTCAGTTTTGGATAAACTTGAATACTTTTGCTAAAATTGTATTGCTGTCCTTGACCCTGTTAAGAAGAGGTCATTTTACTTCTTGTCCTGAAAAAAGGTGATAGTCACTCTGCGCTGGAGAGATTTCCCATCACTTCCTTTCCTGATACGAAGTGTGGGGACATATGAGTCCCTATGGTTGGGTTGGAGCTGGGCTTTTTTGTGGGTATGTGCACTTGCACGTACTTGATTGTGGTAGATATATTATACTGCAAATTCCTTTTTAGCAAGCATTGATGTGAATTGTGTTATGTTCCCTGTTGAAGTGTTAGCGCTATATAACTGTATGAAATAAATAAGTCAACATTATTTATGGTTTTTTTTCAGTTGTGGTTATTTAATCAAAAACCAGAATCTCTCAACCCCCTGGTGAAATATCACAGCTGCACATCTGGATTAGGCAACAGTTATGTTCAAGCTGCAAAGGTTAGTACTTTACATTTCTCTAAGAAAAATGAAATCCTTCTATATCATACAAAAGGAAAAGCTGTATACTTCAAGTGAAGAAAGGCCCGGATAGAAGAAAAATGCCTGTTTGATTGAATGTCTTACTTTCTATGTTTTTTTGTTTTATATTACAGGCAGTCCCCTGGTTACGTACAAGATAGGGACTGTAGGTTTGTTCTTTTGGGCTAGAGTTACACTTAAAAAATGTACCTGTTCCAACTTGCATACAAATTCAACTTAAGTGTAACTCCAGCCCAAAAAAACTTTTTTAGTTTTAGGATAGCATAGGGAAGGGTTAACCCCCTGTAACATTTGTATTGCCATGTGTGCCCCTGTTCAGAAGATTTCACCTCACTTTCTGTCCCTGTGACAATTGCATTTTGAAAATGTTGGGTTGTCATGGAAACAAGGATTGGTGATAACGCTTCAGTGGAGACATCTTTTTACCATGACGACTCTTACAGGAGTGAATTTTCCTTCCTAGGTTCCTAGGAGTAGATTTCCTCTCACTTCTTGTTGTCTCAGGGACAGAAAGTGAGAATAAGGGGTCTATTCACGAAGCTGCCGAAGGATCTGGCCGTAGCTTCGGCCGATCCTTCGGCTAGCTTCGGCCCCAGGACCCCTTCGGTTCAGTAGAACCGAAAGGGTGCTGTACGGGCTATTCACAATAGCCCGTACAGCTCCCGATCATGGC